TTTTCCGGGGGGGGGGCGGGGTGAAAATATACCATGATATACACTCAGTGTCCAAAGCCAGGATATGGCAATATTAAAAATAGGTGTTCACTCTTAAAAGCTAGATTTTTATTCCTTTTTTAAAGAAAAAGCCCTTGAGGGGAGGGAGCCAAGAGTTAAAAGGTTAAATATTTTCCACTGCTGTTAGAATAAAGACAGTGTCTTGAGATATTCATTGTTAAACTGTTTGGCTATATTTTATTATACTGCAGTATAGTATTATTGTTGGTAACTGATGTGTAGAGTAACACTATGGTGCTCTTTCTAGGTATAATTGGAGACATTGTGTGGTCCCTGTAAGAAGCTTGGTTCCTGCTTGCGTTCTAATTGTAAAATACTGTTCTGGATTTTTGTATAGGTAATTGGATTTTGGAACCACTTTAAGATATGATAAAGGCAAAACAAATATTAACTAATTTAGAGGGCAGTACTTGAAACTTTTGCATATCTGAGTGTGGAAGTTAGTTATTTACAAGTTCTCATCTTCTGAGTCTTTTACTGGGTTTCCATTTAAATTCTTAAAGTCCCTGTTTCTACTTTGTAGTTAATGATCCTTTAAAGTAATATTCACAATCAAGTAGACTCTTGGATTCTGGCATTGTTTGATTATATTATGCATGCCTCTGTCCCACAAGCCACTCTTGGCAATATTTACAATTTGAAATGTAGTCTATGGAATTTTTTACACGTTTAAAAAAAAATAAAACTGTGGTAGCATTGCTTTTGTAGTATTGAGCCTTAAAATAACAATCGCAGCGGTGTACACAAGTATGACACACACTAAAATACTGGAGAGAGATATTTTTACTTGTGCTGTTGAAGTTTTTGGTAGCACTAACTCATTTAATGTCTAACCTCAAACATTTTATTGCTATTTAGTGTTTTTCTTGGGACCATTGGTATTAAACTAAAATTTCCTATTTACATCATGTAAAGTTTAATGTGTAAAGAGACTAGCCTACCAAAATATTATCCAGTTTTAAACAAAATTGGAGAATTATATGTCTGTCATCAGCAGGTCACATTACACTTACTAAATACTTGCAGGCTTTTTTTTTTTTTTAATATAAACTTTTCAGTAGTCTGATGTGAAAAGAAGAGTTACTCCAAGTGGCTGAAATGTAATCACTTTAAAGGCCATGGTCTAACCAGAAGGTGGCCTGGGAAGCCTTGGTTAGCAGGCGCAATACCTAGACTTTCTAGAGCCACAAGTTAAGATGCAGGGACCTAGAACAGAATCTCTTTAAGCTCTCCACAGGAGTAGGCAGGACAGGCCAAGGGAAGTGCATTCAGCTGACCGGCACCTGCGCTCCGCCCCAGATGTGACTCCTTTTTTTTAATGGCTGATGCATTACTTGATTGTGTGCGGTGCTGTGGGATCCTGCAGGCTTGAAAAGCTGCTGGAGAGAGCATGAGATGTGTTGCAATAGTGAATCCTCTCTTTGTTGCTCCAGGATTTCAGATGTGTTCTAAGCCTGCCGGGGTGAGCACGCTTCTGGGCACTGATGGAGACGAGAGCTCAGCACGGCAGCGGGTCGCAGGCCTTGCTACAGGCTCGGCGTGACAGTGGGAGACCGCACGGGGAGCCCGACCTGCGGGATGTCCTGATGCAGCAGGTTCACGTCTTGTCATTGGACCAGATCAGAGCCATCCGAAACACGAATGAGTACACAGAGGGACCTACAGTGGCTCCACGGCCAGGGATCAAGTCTGCTCCTCGGCTAGCAACCCAACCCAAAAATGAAAGGCCCCATGGCTTGCCTGAGCATCGTCATTTTAGCCGGATTCAGCACACGCAAACACATGCCTCTTCTCGGGCGCCTCTGTCCCGATCCATCAGCACAGTCAGCACAGGTTCACGGAGCAGTACAAGGACAAGTACGAGCAGTAATTCATCTGAACAAAGACTTCTAGGATCATCTTCGGGGCCAGTTGCTGACGGGATAGTCCGAATGCAGCCCAAGTCTGAGCTCAAGTCAAGCGAGCTGAAGCCACTGAGCAAGGAAGACTTGGGAGCGCACAGCTACAGGTGTGAGGACTGCGGGAAGTGTAAGTGTAAGGAGTGCACTTATCCAAGGACCCTCCCATCATGTTGGATCTGTGACAAGCAGTGTCTTTGCTCAGCCCAGAACGTGGTTGATTACGGGACTTGCGTTTGCTGTGTGAAGGGCCTCTTCTATCACTGCTCTAACGATGATGAGGACAACTGTGCTGACAACCCCTGCTCCTGCAGCCAGTCGCACTGCTGCACTAGATGGTCCGCCATGGGCGTGGTGTCCCTCTTTCTGCCTTGCTTGTGGTGTTATCTACCAGCCAAGGGTTGCCTTAAGTTGTGCCAGGGTTGTTATGACCGGGTAAATCGGCCTGGGTGCCGCTGTAAACACACCAACACCGTTTGCTGCAAAGTTCCCAGTGTCCCCCCCAGGAACTTTGAAAAGCCAACATAGCATCACTAGTCAGAAATACTAAAGTAACAAGGATTACTTTAACCTACGTATGCAACCAACTAAGCAGCTATGGTCTTGGCACTGTAGTAGAAGGGTTGGGGATCTACTTTGCTGTTTGCAGTGAAATGCTTTTCTCTGTGTGTGCCATCTTAACTGATACGCTTGTTAGAATCCAGCTAGTGGCATACAGAAAAAAAAAATAAGGGATGCAGTACATTGTGACCCACATATTGCATAAGCTAAAGCAACACAGACACTCCTAGACAACTGTATTGTTTGTGAATAGTACTTGCAAAATTTGTAAATTAGCAAATGACTTCTTTTTTTCATTGTTTTCTGCCAGAGATAATGTGCTATATTTTTGTATATACAATAATATTTTCAACTGTGAAAAATAAGTGGTGTCATAAGACATGGCACAGTCACAAAATATTATACTAATATGTTGTACATTCGGAAGAATGTGAATCAATCAGTATGTTTTTAGATTGTATTTTGTCTTACGGAAACCTTCTATTACAAGACTCTGATTTCCCTTTGGACTTCATGTATATTGTACAGTTACAGTAAAATTCAGCCTTTATTTTCTAATTTTTTCAACATATTGTTTAGTGTAAAGAATATTTATTTGAAGTTTTATTATTTTATAAAAAGAAATATTTATTTTAAGAGGCATCTTACAAATGTCACCCCTTTTTATGAGGACGTCATAGTTGCTGCAAATAAGGGGTGAACGATGCATATGTTCACTATAAAATAGAAAATATATTAACGTTTGAAATTAAACTGGGCTACTTGTCATTTTTTCCCCCCATTTATTGTTTTGAGTTGGGAAAACTGGTACTTCTAATTGCAGATTTCACAGTGATATAGTCACAGTGAGTCTTAATATGAAAACGAAGCCAGAATTTTTAACTGTATTTGTTTTGTTGTTTACTACTTTACTTGAAAAAAATGCGGGATTTGTGCTTCCTTCCCTTGCACAAATGTCCCATATGCTGTCCCTACAACAGAAAAGGAAAATGAACATAGGAAAATGTATTAATTCATTCCAGACTAGGGCTAATAGGCACTGAAAGCTTGACCTATTCTATAAGTGATGAGCTTTTGTGCCTCAAATAGGAAATAAGTAATCATTGACAAAAATTGTTAGGCTTGTACAGCTTTACTTAGAGAGAAAGAGAAAAAAAAAAAAAGAAAATTAATACAGTCGGTGCAAAAAGCTTGCAGTATTATTTGTTAAAAGTAGAAGAATATGCCACAGGGAATGATATATCTGAATGCAGTCCAGCCTTATGTCAAACATTTGCCTCACTTGTAAGAAGAAAGTTGCTTGATCTGTCATTTGTGGCAGTTACCTTCCACTGAGGTCAAAATCCTTTCGCTGCCAAGTTTCCCACCGGAAGCCTGGAGAATGATTTACCTTTCTTTATTAACAAACTATCATTTCCTGTTCTGAGCATGTCTCTCCAAGTTTAGAGGTCTTAATGTTGGATTTTATTTATACATTTCTTAAGCTGGCATTTAAGAAACAGTTGTAAGTATTTTTTAAGCTGACGCTTAGAAAAATCTCACAGCCTTTTCTGAACTCTCTCCAACAAAAACAAGTTATAACTAATAAATTAAGAACTCACTAAAAGTTGAAAACCAGAGCATTGAGTAAATGTTACATCTTTTTGCCCTTAATTTTCATATCTGATCTGGTGTTTAGGCTATTTTACATAGGTCTGTAGTACTCAAAAATCTTACACTGTGTGTTAGTGTGTATTGGTTATCAATCATCAAGTGAAATTAAAACATGCAAGCCCTAGCTAGTTTGCAAAACAAAAATAGCTGATACATGGGCCTTGTTCTCTTTTTTTTTTTTTTAACTTACCTCTCTGGTGAAAAATGTAAGCTGGTTTGCTTTCCTCTCTGCACCAGCTGGCTGGATACTTTGGTATACAAACACATGCAGCACATATTTAGCCTTAAGAGTGGAATTTGCCAGGAAGAAGGTGGCTTATGTTACATGAGTAATTTGTCCGTATTTAAAGCTCATCAGTATATTGTGACCGACTGTTGGAACATATATGTGAGATTGTATTTGGCTGCTGATAAACAGAGATTTTATTTTTTTAAATATAAATCTTGTTCTTGGTTGGTAACTGTCATGTGTTTCCATTCACTGAATGTAATTCTTGAATTTGATTAGGTGCTTATTGCCTAAACTGTCCTGGGTTAGTCTTGCTGATTGAGAACAAACATGGGAATCATCAAATAGTTCATTTATTGGGAGAATCTTTGACCTTTAGGCTATATTTCGGAAAACCATAAGCCCACTGATTTCAGTAGGCAGTAAATCCAGTCTTTTCACTGTACTGACGAACTTGACAATGCTGAAGGTGAGCCCTGTCTTTTCAGTGATTTATGTTTCAGTCAACTAAGATACCTCTAAGGTAATCTGAAGGTGAAACTGCAGTATGACTAAGCAGTGTAGCAGTCAAGGAGGGTGCAACTCTTAAGTTCTACTAGGTAAAGTCCAATACTAAAATTGTGGGCGTGTTTTATTTTGCACTATAACAAATTCTTTGACTACCTAGATTCTCAGGGAAAAGGAAAACCTTCTTGTTGATACTGAAATTTGAAGCTGTTCTTAACATTAAACACTGGTTGTCATCTTCCACTTGATTTTTAATGAGAATAAATAGTGGATGCCCCGCACACCAGGTAAGCTCACTACCAGTGAACTGGGTTGCACATGTGGCACTTGTGATTGAAGATGGCATTAGGCACTGCCTGTTGGGCTCACTGTGGTGCTGGGGTCTGTGCTTCACTTAGTATGAATTAGTGTGTGTGTGCAATGGACACTTAAAAGTTAGCTTGTGTGTGTTAGTTAACATCCTAATGTTACACTTAATTAGATAAGGTTTACTATTCTAAATAAAACCAAAATCTTGCCTCAAACAGATTATATTGTTTTAGTAAGAATTAAGGGCTTTTCAAGTAGATTGAGATAATGTTATTAGGCATGCCTACTTTGTCCTTTGAGATAGGAAAGTGGAGGTCTAAGAAAGGAAAAATTTTCCATACACAGGTTTTGAGGATAACTGTGAAAGTCATGCCAGATATACACCATAGAGGACTTTGATTTTAGACAGCTATTAAGCTATGATTGCTCCATTTGTTGTGTTGTTGCTTTAGTGTGTTGATCTGTTAACCTCCTAGAAATTCTGATGTAAGGTTTGCTTAAAGTTAGAGACCTGCAGGATTGGACTAACAGTTGACTAGTGCAACAGTGGAAGCAAATATTCCAATTATTTTTCCATATGATGTGATCTACATATAAATACATCAAATCTGCTTGTACAGTAAATCAAATTTTTTATTTTGCTCTTTAATGGTTTGAGGCTTGATTATAATTTCTTATTTTGAGATATGATTATAGCAGTAAAATAAAAAAGGAAAATTTGGATTCAAGTGGAGAATAAAAAAGTATAGAACTTTAGATGGAAATAAAATGTGTTCTTAAAGGTTTTGAGATAATACTCAGGTGAGTATTAACATATTCAAGCAAGTTACCAAATCAGTCTTTAAAAGACAAAATTCTCCAAATGAGGAAGTGCTATAGTTAAGTGGTCATGATGATTAACACAACAGCTTTTTTACATTTTCTTACAAAACTGTGTGTGTGAGGTGGAAATGACTTGACAGCAGCATGCATAACTTGCTTTTATTTTTTTCTTTTAAACGTACAGAATTACCTGTATTACCTTTTTCACTTTTGGCAAAATATAAAATAATTCATTTTTGTGATAAGTGAAATCTTAAGGCTTATTCTGAAATGTCAGGGAGAGAATAGAATGCATTTCTGTGCCGCAGTAGAACATTAAATTATTTTTAGGAATCAACTGTTGGGGAAGATGGATTTGAACAGTCTGTCTTGTCTCAGATGTTCCTGGATGGGTGCAAGTACAGTAAGTAATAATGATTTCATTTGCTGAGACTAATTTCTCAATCAGTCACTGGAGTAGAGACCCAGAAAGAAATCGGCTGAATACGAGAGCACGCTTGACTGAGTAATGTCTGTATGAATAGTACTGGATAGATTTCTTTCTGAAAATGTCAGCAATGTACTGAATCATCTTAAATAAATCAATTACAGGTTGGGGTTGCAGGTAGACTACATTGTGACAAAGCACACCAAATCCTTACCAGTGAAAATACTCAGTTTTTCTTCTGTTTACACAATCTGATTTTAAACTGGAAATTTAGAAATAAAAATTGATACCTCTTTGAAATCAGGAGAGTTTGACACAGAAACTGTGCATATATATAGTATTGTTTTCTTTCAAAAATACTGTTTTAATCTGAGGAGACCCCCTATGCAGTAATCATATTTATTTCTCTTTATATTTTTTTCTGGTCCCTGTCCCCACCTTGACCTTTCCTAGCTATAATACATAAAGGTTTAGTGCCACTTACTAGGACAAAAGGTGAAAGAGGAGGATGAAACATGCTTTTCTCATTAGTATTCTGTGTCTCTGAAAGTTTAAGACAAGGTGGAAAAAATGATTACCTTGTTGTACTTATCCTGCATTTCAGAGAGATATAAAGCGTTTTTCCATTCATGTGACATTGAAATCCACAGTTCCAGAAAACATTTTATTTTCACATCTTTGGTGTGATTTTTATTACTCGAGAAGGCATTATGTGTCTTTGGAGTTCCCCTTTGTTTTAACCTATGGGCACTGTATTTCAAATGACAGAGATGGAAGCCTTACTACTATAAAAGCATAATCTGCTATTCCTCTGTCACAGGGATTGTTCAGAAGAGAGCTGATGCTGTTACCTTTGGGCATGAGTAGCAACAATTTCTCTTGAAACAGGGTGGAAGTTCAGTGTTTTCAACCTTGGGAGCAGGTAACAGATGTTGTGCTATGTATCCGAAGTTTCTGTTTGCTGTGGTGTAGAAAAGGTGTTTGGTTTTTTTTTTTTTGGGGGGGGGGTTGGTTGTGGGGTTTTTTGGTTTTTTGTTTTTGTTTTTGGTTTTTTTCTCTTTGCCCTGACTCAAATCCTGCACGCTGATTAGAGAGGCTTATGGCTAAAATGTTCAAACTTTTTGATTGAAATGGATTGGTTCCCATTTCAGTAGAAGTTACCAATAATCACAAGCTTTGACAATGTAGTCTACTATTATATAGGATAATTTATGGATATTTTAATACTTAGGAGTTTGAGTTACATATTAAAACAATCTTGCCAAAGGAGATAATCTGTTTCAAAAACGTAAGAAACTGTATAATCAGAGTAGCTCTGCTTTCCTGAAAGCCTGCCATATAATTACAAAAGCATTCAGGCACCTGAGATATGTTACAAGAGAAGTCACTTGATGTAAATCAGGTGTCGCAGGCGCAGGTTTAACTTGGAGAGTCTGAGCCAGTACACAAGACTGTATCAGGATAAATCACCAGTTTGTGGACATAGAGAGCACATTGAACAAAGGGGGGGCGTGGGGGTGTTAATTTTTTTTTTTTTCACCCTACTTTTATTTTGGTCAAGAAGCAGTGTATATGAACCAATCATAAATTATGTGGTTGTCAATATATTTACTGAGAAAAGAATATCTGGATGCTCTTTCAGTGTGTCTCAAAAAACAGGCCAAAATGGAAAATTTCTAAATGACCAGTCAAATGTAACGTCATCTTCAGAAATGAAGTCAAGCATCAGGGCTATAGCAATCCATGTTTCAAAATTAGGTGCACTGTAAGTAAAATGCACTAATTGGTTATACTTAAAACTGTTAC